AAGCTAGATTTACCTCGACGTAATAAAGAAAGCTTAATCCCTTTCCTCCATCAAACGCACGGGGAATTATTATTTCCTACACATGTTTACCCAGGAAACAGTTTTCACTGAGAAAAACAAAAAAAAGAGTAAATTCACCTTCAAAATTCTATGTGAAAAAAAAAAGAGTCGATTCAATTTGAAATGAGTTGCACCAACTCATTATCGAGTTGAATCAACTGTATGGATGTGTTCATTCAACTCCAAATTGTGATTTAGCTCCAAATCTAAGTTGAACCAACTCGCTTATTGAGTTCACCATGTTTAACTCAGGAAATCGGTTGAATTTACATTCTTTCTATTGTCGATGTTCCTGCGCCATTCCATGATTACGTTGATTCACTTGTCCACCATTCACGTAGAGATCCAACGGATACCTAGATTCATTGATCCTGGTCCTATGTCCGACAATGCGTCCAGGGTCATGGGCATATGGAGGACCGAGCAGTTTGAGCAGGACCACGAACGGCACCTAAATCGGGAAAACAACGGCTATAATAAGACTAGATACGTGCATACGAGCGCCGCTCGAACCCGTCGCTCCGGCAATGGGAACAATTAGTTTCGCGCAATTAGTCGCGAGCGATCGAGGAAGAGCCGCCCGCGAGGCCCTCGGCACCGGCATCGGGGCGAGAGATAACATAATATCGCGCAAGGTAAACCGCGAAGCGGAGACGGCCCCTTATAGTAGCCGGACGCGTTGGGTGGTCCCGGCCTCACCGTGGGTGGTCGCTCACTAACACCGTTTCGGTATTAAACGGTCCCCCGTCCGGCATGCGTGTACGTCGGTGCCTACGAATACGCGCATGCATATACGCGCATGCATATACACGTATACAAGTACACGTATACGCATACCGGCTGCCCTACCGGCACGTTTCACGATAATATATCATTTCAGGTAGCGCAACCGAGGGCACGTCCTCTGACGCGCTCTCGGCACTCGCGCTCGAGCGGAGCTTTTGCTCGCGAAACTTGAAAGTTAAATGAAATAAATGTGCAGCCCATCGAGTACCCTCGTCGAAGAAGGACTCCCTCAGGACGATCGGAGATACCTTCGAGGAGATCAGAGATGCGCAATTCGTCGGGCGATTCGCGCGTCCGGAAGAGGGACAACCCCCTCGAGGCGTTTTTCCTCCTCGAGGGTCTTTCTCTCTCTCTTTCTCTCTCTCTCTCTCTCTTTCTCTTTCTCTCTCTCTCTCTCTCTCTTTCTAGAGTTATTCATAGATCCCGAGTCCACGCACGTTGCGTGGCTCGTGCGTGCCATCCCGTACTCGGCGGAGGTGCTCGGATAACGCATCTCGGAATACCCGTATTCCCTGGTACCGGAGACTGTCTCGAGAGGGACGAGGAGGGCACATCCGCGGTTACCACCTGGGTGGTCCGATCGGAGTCGCGGAGAAGGCGCTTCGAACGCGATACGAGGACGCTTCTCTCCCGAAAACGGCGGATAGTAAATCCTCCCTCGTCGGCTCGTATCCCGTGTCCTGCGATCGCCGGGGATGTCCGTTCTCCGCTATCGAGTTCCCATCGCTGCGAGCCTCGCGTTCCTCTCGCTCTTCGAGACATGCTCGGCCTGAAAAATTAACGGAAAAAATCAGGGGTTGAGCGAAACGCTCCCTCGAGGCGACTCGCGTCCTCCAGGGCGTCGTTATACCCCGGAATAACACGTTACGGGTGTGTCCGAGTTACTTTGCGAGCGAGGTGAATTAATAATTGGCCCGTTTCGGCGAGGCCGATCCTCCGCCGAGTCGAGTCGCCCGGTCCGTGAGAATCTCAGCCGAGGCCGACTCGCGAGAATTACGGTAATTGGGCCGAAACCCCGGGACGGTCTCCTAAACGCCTAAATTCGCCGAAGGTGAGGCTCCCTTCGCCGTCGATGCTCTCGAACAATAGGTATTACGCGTGCCGCCGCTCTCGAGCCCCCCGAACCGTTAAACTTCGGAGACGGCACGCCATTTGACGGTAACAAAGGGTGATACTACCGAGTGGTTTCATGGAACGACGAAAAGTCGACTTAGGAAGAATCCGGGAGTTCCACATGTGGAAACTTCTAGAATGTTACAAATACCCGTTGCTGACTTTAGTGTTGCCGTACTATAATTATAGTATTGGTCTTATTATTTTGGTCCGGCGTACGATACGTTTTTAGAATAATAGTACGCGAATTATACTTCCGGCAGAAAGTGAAACTGGAACCACGGACGACTTCGTCATTATCGTTGAGTATTTTTATTTATATTCTTGGTTTCGTTTTTAGACATTCATGCTCTGCTCAAACAGGGAATTTATTAGTTGTTTAATGTGTTGAATCGCTGTTGCCAGAACAGGTAGTTGCCGATACTGCGTCTAGTAGAGAAAAATACAATAGGGAAAAAGGAAAGATTCGATGTCGCGTTCTGGAAAAGCGTAACAAAATGGCGGCGGGGGCGGCGATTCGGGGAGCGCGGAGTAGGTGGATCGGGTAGAGGGTCCACCGTATGCGGGTCGCGCGTGCACGCGCGGGCCGGGGCCATGAAACGAGTAGCCGCGCCGGGTGGACGAGGCCGGGCGACGTGGGTGGTCCGGCAGAGATTTGCCTTCCGCTAAATATCGCCTTTGCGCGCACCCTCGACTTGGGTGGTCCGCCGGGAAGATCCCCTCGACCCCGCGCGTCCCCGGCCAGGCCCGACCTCGGCCCAGGCCCGTGCGTTTGTCGCCGCTCTCCACGGACCGAGACGACGCGACGCGCCGCCCCGACTTTCCAGCTCCGGCCAGGCACTGGGAGGGGGCGCGACGCGTGTGGTCTCGAGGTGGAACGACAGCGACGGCCTTCTCGTCCGTGGCTCGCAGGATCGATCGATCGATCGGCGCGGGCTGCTCGATAAACTCGGATAAACTGCCCCGAAGCGCACGGCCGTGCGCCGATATTTTTCGCCACGGTTGCCCCGGGCGACGGTGGCGCCCTCGGGCGGCCGAACCGAGCGACCCCGCTGAGGCGGTACGGCCGCACGATCCGAATCGAAATCGCTCCTCGCCCGAATCCAGTCGAATCGGCCCACAATGCAGTCGTCCTATTCAAACTACCTTTTTACTCGCTACTCTGATGCGTTCTGCGTGCGGCAAAACGCTCCGATTTCGTTCCGTTTTCCTGTGAAACCTACGAGCAACTATTGCAATTCGTTGAATCGACTCCAACTTGCGGCATAACGAACCTTTTCGAGGAAGACGAACAACTGGCTTTCATCCTAAGGTATTATGAAAGGGTTATTCTATATATATCAAAACGTCAAAATATTTGCAAAGCTTATCTCCAAACAGGAGTGCACCGAATCATTGAAACTTCGGCGTATAACTTCTGATTCTTTCGTCATATTCAAATATGCGAATAAACGTGATGTATGTACTCACGGGTAATTTTTTTAATCTTTTTTGCCAACTTCGCACTTTGATTCTAACAACGTGTCTTCTGTCATTAACTTGTATAATTATTATTAATAATCCCTTTTCGAGTAATAATATTGTAGGAAATAGAAGTTGGAATTTTCTCCGTTTGCCCCGTTTACACCTGACAGTAGGCAGCGTTTGCGTGTTGAATGTTTGTATAAATTTGTGTCCCATCGCGTAATCGTTTTAAGATTATTACCAGTTGACCGATGGCGAATGTCAACGTTGTGCTATCGGTAAATTAATTTTTTTCGACCTTCCCAACCAGTTGCATTTCATCTCTCGTGCCTTCTCGACCCGAAAAACAATTCTACAATGTTTGGTGCAACACGGCAAGCCGGTGCCGGGGCCGCGGCTCGAAGTGACGTTTCCTGGAACCATTCTGCCACGCGAACCATACCCGGTTCCGCCGATCGACGGCTTTGCGTCGACCCGGCGAAATTCTTGCCGGTCGAACGGTAAATCGTACTCGCGAAGGCGAGGCAATTAAGCCTCGTGTTCATTTTGCCGGAACGGCAATATCGCGTTCCTCGGCGAGCTCGGCCGTCCTAGTAGGGCGTCCTCCTGCGTCGACTTCGGCCGGCCGGTCGTTTCAGGATGTTTCGCTAACCTCGGCCCCCACCCTCGGGCCGATGCTAATGCAACTACTATTAGCAAGTAGTGAATCGAATGTAAAGTCAGACGTAAGGTCGGGACCACACAGCGCGTTTACGGGTTACGACGCCCGGCAGATGCACTGCCCCATAAACGGAGGAGCGGACCACACAGCGCGTCGCTCTTCGTTCCTTCGTTCCTTCGTTTCCTTAATAACCGCGATAGGCCTGGGCTTCGACCCGCACTCCCAGTCTCAACCCTCGAGTGTGCGTGAGTACACGCGAGCACGCTACGGCCGAACCATAGACACGCTCGTTTTGAGACCGACTATTTGTCTTTGGCATTCGGCGTCGCCTTTCGTTTGGATTCGAGCTTAGAATGAAGAAGACTCCTCAGGACTTGTAAAACTTGTTGAAAATTTAATTATGTTAAGTACTCCGTCTGACTGCGTTTTCAAAATTCCCGCGTCGGTAGGATCTTCGATGGTGATTCGAGAGCGAACGCAAAAGTCCATCCATGGGAAATTGTGAACCTTTTGACTTTCGATGAATTTCGATAATCGTTCCTTGAATTATTTCTCTTATATCGCTTCCTGTATATTTCACCTCGGAGATTATCTATGTGGGGTTGTATACGGCTTTGGCGATCGTGTTTCTCTTGATTAACATGTTTGTAAGCTGTCGAGTGAATAATACTTTGTAAACAAACATGATTTACATTCCTGTGGAGTCGATTGAGTTTCATACTGCGCAAAGTGATAGGCGCCATGTTTTAATTGGACATTCAATCAATTTCCGTCTCGTACACCAATCGAAGGGTCGAGCCGCCGTATTGGAATCCTAAAGGTGGAAGATTATTGGTTCGTCCGCGGATCGACCAATTACGTGTTAGTCTCTAGCCGAAATGACCAATCAGAACGCGTCGATCTTTCCAACATGGCTGCCCTGATATTTCGCCGCCATTTCCTGCTTCGTTCTTTACGTCGCGGTCCTCGAGCAGGAGGTGAGGTTCTAATTGTTATAATTACGATTTTCACTAAAAATTCATCTACAAATTCTTAAGAAATTTAACTAACGCAACATGGAACTCGCTGTTAAACGCAAAACTAGAAAGAAAGCTTATTGTGTCGTGAAGTGTCGACCTGTTCGCGAGTGATTGGAAGACCACATGGGCGTTCGCCGCAATAAGGTGTTTTCTCTTTGGTTTTTCGTAATATAAGTTTTATACATTTGCAGTAAAACGAAAAAATGCAGCTGTATATTCGTGGCCAGGAAACGCACGTCCTCGAGTGCGAGGAGGATGATACAATATCCGAAATCAAGGTATGCATCCACTTCATATTCTAGCCTAACTCAGTCGTTAAGCCGATCGTGTATTTTCTTCAGTGTATAATTTCATGCAACTTTTAATTTTACATTAAAATTACCATGAAAGTGGGAGGAAAGATATGTGATGCATTACTTTGATAATCTGGCAACTGTCTAACTTTACGATGTCAGAACGAGCAGTAGTGCTAAAAAAATTGCGCTTCTCAGGGAGGCAAAGGGTTAATTTTATATCCTCTGTCTTATCGTAGAAGCACGACAAATCTACATAATTCTAAGTAGTTTGTCTTTTAAATGGAGTCGATTAATTCTACCTATTTAATTATTACTAAGAAACTAGTTAGGTAAAATCTTATGTACCCAAATTATTCTTTTCTGAACGTTCTTTTACAAATTTTTTTTTTAAATATTATAGGGACAAATCGCATCCCTTGAAAATGTCGGAACGTTGGATTTCAACCTTTACTGCGGTGGAAACTTAGTGACCGAAGATGTGGCTATTGCTGAACTTCCATCAACCGATCTTGAGATGATTGTCCCCATGCTTGGAGGTAAATCAGCACGTTTTTTGAAAAAGCTTATTAAATGCAACTTTAACCATTCCTTTTTGACAGAGTGAATCACATGATCCACATTAATTATATATACTGTAATGTGAAATACATCAGCAGTTTTAGATTTAATGTGAGAGTAATGAAAGTTAAAGTGAGTTTAATGCTGTATCCTGGCATTAATCTTTCATCAATTTTCAACAAAACTTGATATTCTGTTTTATTAAATCCTATAATAACCTTTATAGATCAGATGGACAATATATTCTACTTGTTTTGTTATTGATTATTAATACTTTTGTTTGCTAATTGTTAAATCTAAAGTATATATAGCAGTACTTTAATTTTTAGGTAAGGTGCATGGATCGCTTGCTCGTGCTGGTAAAGTAAAAGGACAAACACCTAAGGTAAGAGATTTCATTATGTACATGGTTGGGTATAAATGAAATTTTTCAAAATATGTCACTGAGAAAACAACTATAAAATTCAACAAGAAATGTACATGAAAATTAGTATCATGTTTTTAAGCTTACTGCACTGTGCAAAGCAACAATCATTAGGTCAACAGGACTGTTGGATATTACAGCAGATCTTACTTTTTAAGAATTAGTTAGCACTTTTCAAATATCTGTCTAGGTTGAAAAACAAGAAAAGAGGAAGAAGAAAACTGGCCGTGCAAAGAGAAGGATTCAGTACAACCGAAGGTTTGTCAATGTTGTACAAACATTCGGTCGTCGACGTGGACCCAACGCCAATCCCAATCCTTAAGCATTTCACGTTAACTGTATCACTTCTGAGATACTGTAATATGTAATTTCTACAATCAATACACAATCTGTGAAAAAGGTTTTGTGATAAGTTGTTTATCTATTTTGTATATTATATAATTAATGTGGGTTCATGAAGAGAGAATTACACATTGAACATTTATTTTAACAGTTGATTAATACTAATCCCAGTTGCCTAATATTACAACTAGTTTTCCTATAAAGGACCCAGAATTGTATTCATTGCTTCGATACAATTGGGCGATATAACAGTATATTTTGTAAACATATTCCTAATTCCAATTTAAGCCAGTAAAAAATGTTTTAGGAGTCAAGTTGGTAATTAACCTGACAAGTCTTGAACTTTATGATAGCCTCCTTGTTGACTAGACTACATCGGAAGAAATGTATAATACAAATGTGATAATCATAGAACAAATAACTTTTCCTACTTTGTTGACTTTCCATAATCGTTTTGCGATATGCTGTTCTATAAATTTCTGATTTATGTAGATGATTATATTTTATCAACGATTGCTTAGAATTACTTGGCCAATGGCATTAATCCATGTAGCTACAGCGTAAGCTCCAGCATCAGAATCTTTCAGATGAATTGCCTGTTTTACGTAGCTAGCTCTACCGGCTCTGAAAATGAAATCATTGTTTTAGTATTTTCTGTATTAATCGATCAAGAATCCGTCTTAGCATTTGTGCTCTTCTAATTTTGTTACCTGGGCTCCATGTTTTTAGTTTCATTGCAAGCACGCCAGACTCCCTCTATTACCATCGTTACAGTTTCTTCATAGAATCCTGATAAATTCTCTTCGAATATTTTGCAAGCAGGATCCAAAACGTCCAGCTAAAAGCATGTAAAGAAATATTTAACGATATTTAAATTGCTTCTAGTACTCAATGGAGCTTTACCATTGTTCGATCACCGATCCTTGCTTTGCTGTATCTTATTATTCCATCGATGCCACCACGCCAAGCATGGGCCCAGGTTTCTAACCAATCTTCCCCACTTTTTGCTAGTGATAGTTCAGTGCCTGCAGTTGTGAACAACAGGCTGTAAACAGCACCTGAAGTTCCACCCATTCGTTCCTCGGCAATCATTGATAGTTCCGTTAATAACGACGAAGGATGAGATGTTGGTAAACTATCAAGTGCAGCAAGAATTCCTATTTGAGAAAAGTTTAACAATTATTATTGATATCAAACGCAAGAAAAACATTTACCTTTAGCAAGTTCCTTATGTGTCGTTCCACAATCCCCATCTCCGCAACCTCGATCCAGTTCATTGATCAAATCTTCCTTTTCCATAATTGCATCACAGGCTTTCTTTAAACACATTTTAAGTAGGTTGTCTTGTTGCTCAGTTAATGCCCGGCCTATCTTAGGTGATCTTTTTCTTTTCTCTTCAATTAAAGGCTCTTTAGGCTTTGATGGTTTTTTACTGTAGTATCGACCAGGCCAGCATGGTGCTTCGGTCTTGTCATCAAGGCACTCGATGAGTATTGCTTTGGAATGTTCAGGCAATCTTAGCATCGATATGTGTATACCAGCACTGTCTAGCGATGTCATCAAGACACCAAAGTAAACACGAACTGGTTCCACTCCTTTCTCCTCTGTTCGCACAATAATTATTCAGCTTGAGTATGGTTCAATTTGGATATATCATGTGCACTCTTCACACTTTATATTTACCTCGTCAAATGTTAAGCATAGGCAAGGATGAATATAGGAATTATTAAAATGCTTTTGATGTACGTTAAAACCTTATTTCTAATTAATTTGTGATTCTAATTCCATTGTTTGAAAAATACCTTATGAGTCAAAATGGTAGTTACCCAGTTGTTTAATAACTTCATTGGTTACGATCCCTTGTTCTAGCTGGCTAGAACCACCAAAGTTATTCACAATGACTGCTACGAAGTCTCCACTGACTATGGATAGTGTCTGGATAATTTGATTTAGCATGAGTGACACCACTTGTGCTGCATTTTGTAACTTCAGTCGTTTGTATCCTGCTTCACCATGAACACCTAATCCGACTTCTATTTCATCTTGTGGAAGGTCGAACATTGGACCCTGACCTTCATAAAATTATATAGCATTGCCATAAGATAAATTTCTGCTAATGTTCCTGGTTAAAAATTCTATCAATAATGCTTTAATTTTTATAAAACGAAAAAAAAATAGACCTTGATCTAAATGATTAACCAACATTAATGAGAAAGAATAATTACTAACCAGGTAGTGAACACACCGACAAGCCAACAGCATAGGTAGCTATATTATTCGCTACTATTTCTGTATATCTTGCTACTTCGGCAAGACTTCGACCCCTCTCTGCAAGCGATCCAGCTACCTTTTGAACAAACATTATTCCTACCAAACCACGTCTTCCTGCTCTTCCTTGCTCACTTGTGGGTATACTACAATCTTCTCCCACTGTAAGATCCGCTACCTATAGTCAAGGAAATGAAGTTGATGGGTAATAATACACTTCTGCCAGTTTCATTGTATACAGAAATTTAGAAAATTCACTTAATGTGACTAATTGTAGGGATATTAAGAAACTCATTTAATTTAATGTATTATTTCACCTACCGTTAATCCTGCTTGACGAGCTTTTTCAATAGCTATTCCAAAATTTAAACAGTCTCCTGTGTAGTTTGGTATAATTACTAAAGTTCCAGCTAATGACACACAATGTAATTATTTATAGGGTTGCATTATGAAACATTTCTCAAGGGTGAGATACAGGTGCAATACCTTTGTTGTTCGTCGATACACATTGTAATGCGTATAAAATATTGCTAGATGGTGGCGCAGCGAAAACAGAACCAGCTATTGCGGCGGTCAGCATTCCTGATCCAACGAATCCTACAGAATTATTATATATAATATGCACACTTTTGATCGATAGATATTATTGTAAAGAAATGTTAAAAGGGTTAATGTGAAACCTGCTGCAAATGGTTCGTGTCCTGCTCCTCCTCCGCACATGACAGACACTTTACCATCTCGGTCCTTCCACTGGAACGTAGAAATGAACTTGATTTTAACTGATAAAGTATGATCCATTAAGAACTTCTCATTGATGTATACTGCATAATTTTTTTCGAATACATATTACGGTCATTCGAATATAGATCTTCCAAGAATGGCTTATCACATCATAAGACTCACATCGGGAGCTAGAATGACTTTCTTCTTTGCATGGAATTCCAAATGTGGGTATGCTAAGCAGAGACCAGACAGGTATTCCTCAACAACAGTTTCAACGGAGTTGATTAATTTTTTCCCTGCAGACATGGTAACGTCCTCGCTGTTGAAAGGAATGGAATTGAACTTCAAGTCATTTACTTTGCCACTGACAGCTATCTTAAAAGTCTGGTGATCTCTCTAACACTACTCTTCAAGTTTTCCAGACTGCCGATAAAGAGAAGAAAAAGGAAGCATTTCTGGTTTTGCGACGTTTAATTTAAGAGCTGATAATGTAACCTTGCTTGTGGCCTCTAAGATGATGAACTACGAACTATGGGTACTTGCTTATGTGAAGGCGTTTTTATGACTAAGTACAAAGAGCTTACTAGTCTAAAGCTTATCCAGCTAGTGATCTGTTTACAGTGATCAGGAGCATGGCATATACAAAGTAATGCAGTAATTAAAACATTGGTTTAAGAATATTTTAATGTTCTTTTTATTTCATTGCAAATTATATTCAGTCAATGTGTCACTTTAAATATGACTCGTGTTACAATATTTTTTAGATAAACAATTGAGTATGTTAAAAAAATAATATCTATGAAATGTATCTTTATAATTCGGGAATCTATATCATCAATACAAGTTATTGAAAGAAAGAAAAATTTGTCTAGGCATAGACGTTGCTTTAATTATTGAATATACGTATCACAGAATCTTTCTTGTCACTAGTACTACCCGTATGCCATCTTAAAAGTCATTGGTGTTATCATATTTGTGCTTATCTAAATTTAAGACTAACAGAATTGGGTAGGTTATAATTAATACAGTGCAAAATGTGTACGCACAAGAGTGCATATTTATCTGAACGTGTAGGCAGCGAACACAAACACCCTTCGGCCAAAGCATATCGTGAGAAATTCATAATTTCAATGAATAATTGATCTTCTACTCCTCGAAAAGTATTTACAATGTACCGTCTAAATTGTAAATTGGTCTAATACTTCTATACTTAAAATCCTGTCAGCTCTGTGAACAAGGTTAGGAAGTTACCCAACGGCTGATTATGTAGGGTGGCCAACGTTACAAGGATTGAACTGAAAAATACCTGGCGGCACTGCAAAATTGATCTCTGTTGTTACATTAGAATGCCGATAGTTACATTTAAATAGCAACAGAAAGATTTTGATAATTTTCATTAAAAATTAATAAGTATAAATAAATGTTTTAAAGATAAAAGGAATTAAATTATACAAATTATGTCCAAGATTAGCATTAAATTATAGTCACCTTTTTATACGTTCAATAAAGAGAAATCTTCCACTTCATAAAACCAACTTGAGAAAATACATTATGGGGCAAACACGTGACAAGATGTTTTTTCTGGTTATCGCGATTGTTAGGTACGTCCTTCGTATTGAATTTATTGCTTGTACAAAAAAAATTGTCAAAAGGTGTTTCACAATATAACTAAGGTGGATCAATACATTCTGATCGTTGTACTTAAAATTATTGCATGTTAAAAAGGCACTTCCTTCATAGTGCACCGCAAAACAGAAATATCTAATAGTGCTGTTCCTAAAAATACTTCATCCGCTAAATCATTGTTTAAGATATAATATACTTTGTTTTGAAGGAGGTCTATGCATTTCATGTTGCAAAACTACTTATCTAGGGACTTAGAAAGGCGCTACTAATTACAAATTTAATGAAACTAAAAGTCCTTCTGCTGCTGGCATATTTTCATAGTCCATTGATAGAAATTTATGACTAGCAGCAAGTTATAAAATTTGTACCAGAAGAAATTAAAGTTACCGAGACGCAAATATCATGTCTTATATGTAGAAAGCTTTAAAAACATTGGTCACTTTCCGGTTGCAAATGGGACACCGTCTCGTACCTCTCCACACTTTAATAGCACACCGATAACAGCAACAAATGTGTGCAATGCTACCATGCACTAATGCACCATTTTTTGGACCAAGTGTGCAAATATGGCACAACTTGTCTGCATCTAATTCCAGGGAGTCACATTTTGTCAATGAATCTATCACTGTTTCTTTTTTTACAATATTTACAGGCAAATGTGACTCGGTTGGAGGTGTGCATTCTTTCAATATTTCTTCTTTTTCTAGAGATAATCTGTCCGCATTGGACTCCTCTGTACTATTGGTGTCAGTCTTAAGTTTCAATGACAGTCTCTGTTCGTCACTTTCATTGTTACCAAGTTCTACGTCGAGGTCCAAAGCTAAAGAGTGTTTACTTTCTTGACTGAAGCCTAAGCCAGAGTCCATGCTAGTCAATGTTAATTGACTATTTGGTTTTGACGATGCCTCACATCGCTTCCTCTTCCACTTAGGTCTTGGCGGGAAAAAGTTTTTTCGTATCTAGTTTTTCAGAAAATGTATTCAATTAATTGAGAGGGTAAAAAAGACATACTACCTATTTAATATTCTAGTACTTATGTATCGATGATCTTTCAAGTATCCAAGATTTATTGGGTAATTGATATTAAATATTACCTGATAGCATTTCTCACAATATCGGAAAAGTGGATTATTATTTCTGGCATTGCATTGAATGCACGTCCAGTAATCTGCCTTTCCAATTTCACTATCTACAGAACTTCTTGAATCGTTGCTATCGTCTGCTAAACCTATGTCCGATTCGCACATTTTATCCAATATATCAATGGCTGACATAATGTCCTGCAAAAGTAAAATAAGCAAATATGAATTTCACATGACCAAGTATAAATCTTTACAGCCCTAGTATAAAATTTTATTTAAAAAAAAAATAAATTTTCATATATACAAGCATACCTCTGGGTCAGATGTCGACGTGCCTTCTGCAAATGGATTATTACTTTCTGAGAGCGACGCAACCTCATACTCAACATGTACGGAAACATTATCACTTTCGCTACTGCTACTAACCCAAGTATGAGTCGATGCCTCAGATGCTCCACCCTCTGTAATAAGTAATAAAATATTAGATTATACTTTGAATATATTTTATTTATTGATCTTTATTTACTTTAGCTCTCGTCTTTATTTTCTTCTCCATTTCTTTATGCAAGTATACAAGTAAACATAAAAATCCACCACTCACCGGTTACTTTCTCGTAGAAGCTATCATCATCGGAGTCACTGTCGAACCATGGCTTCTGCTTTTTGTTCCTGAATTCGTTCTCATCCTCTAAAAATCGACATACCATTGACGTCTCGAAATCAAGCTCACGATGCATAATCTTTGCACAAGGGTCTAGGTTGTTCATACCTTTCTCAGAGTCCTTCCTCTTCCAACAGTCTCGTTTCAAATTTCCTGTGAACATGAGAGGCCATTGATAAGGTTTGTAATTTCCCTGATAAGTAAGAAGTATTCATGAAAATCCTATGTACCATTTTGCAGATCCAAAGCGAGGCTCATTTCGTCGGGATCGGTCGTGAAAGAAATGCCGACGGATCGGTGGGCGCTTTCAAAATCCTAAAACAAAGAGTATTAGAGGGAAAGGTCCCATAAGAAGAAAAAAAAGAACAAGGTCACTCGTACGCTTCTTTCGTAAGGTTCGTACTACGGCGAGTATCGTGTGGCGCGTAGTGGATTCTGGGAGCTCCCAAGACCGAGGTTCTCAACAGCCGTTTAATTCATGACGTGTCAACCTAACCTTAACTAAAATAGAATATACCTCGAGAGGGCTCGCTAAATCCCATAAAATGGTTCCTGTAAACACCGCACCATGAGGAAGTTCCACTTTCGTCCAGAACCATACTATGATTCCAGCATAACGGAGTAAATATTCCAAGCGGTATAAATAAATTGTTACAATTTTTCCAAATACCGAATACCCTTTTTCAGAAACAAAGCCAAATGAATTATAAAATTCTGAAATTAAACTAAAAATGGAACTCCGATTTGACGTGGGGGTCTCGTGTAGCCAGTTTATGGAACTAGCATCGGCGCTTCTTCCTTCTATCATGTTTCGTTATCACCATTTTTTTACGAGATCTTGTACTCCAAAATTGAAACTGACCCTACAGGGTTCCTCAAAACTAACCAGATCACTGTATATTTCGAATTTTAATAGATATCACGGGGAGAATCACCCTTGATGAAATTGCCGCTTTATATAGTAACGAATAAAAATGTAATATTATTTGCTGGGAATAAATTTTAGGTTACCACGAACTGTACGGTGATTAGGTGAGAAAAACGTGTCGTGATTGGAGCAAGATCCGTGAATCTGGAACGAATGCTCACCTTCGGTTCAAACACGCGCGACTGTCCCGTAGCAGCATATGACGGAACGCAACGCCGCGGTGCGGCTCAGCTGCTTGGCGACCGAAGTTTATTCGTGACTCACAGAAAATTCTCGACAAGCTATTGGCGGGAACGCGTTGCGACGGGTAGAACGAGTTCGAACGCGCGCACGAGTCCGTTATGCACCTAACTTCACCCACCCTTTTCTCGGTACTCGATACCGCCGGTGAAGAGTATTTCTTTTAAGTCAGTTAATAGCTGTGCGGTATCTTTAGCAATTGACTTTTAGCTCCTTGAAAACGGTATTCTTAAGGAGTTATAAATACGATAAGAATTATCGAATATTTTGTGTCGACTACGTCCACAGTACACGATATTAACCGATAAAATTCTTTAATGTTCATGAAATTAAAATGGACAGCTAATTTATATTGAATTTGCGTATATTTTTAGTGGATTTTTGGTTAAGATCGATCACGGGTCGATTTTCCGTAAAACGGAGTTCTTACCTGCAGGTGTATCGGTCAGTTGACCAATCAGAAGAGCGAACTCGAGGTGCGGACCAGTAGGCGACGAGCACGCACCGCGAACCTCTGTGATTGGTCGATTCCTTTTCGCCGCACTCGGTGCGAGCGAGGAAGAAGCGCGATACGGGTTGCCCCCTTTTCCTCCCTGTCGCTCGCACTACCGTGTACTTATTTCTGTCTCGCTCCTTCTTTCACTCTATCGGTGCTGGCGTTTCGAAACAGTTGTCAAATCGCAAACATCGCCGCTCGTTTGCTTCACTCGTCGCTGGTCGTTCCGCAAAATGGATTAACGCGCGGCTCGCGACTCTGTTGGCGACCGAAAGGCCCAGGTAGAGTCGACGTCAATCAACGTTAATTTATCGACGTCGTTCGCCGCTTCGGGACGCGTCGCGACCCGCTGCGTCGCGACCTCTTGAGCCTCGAGCGGCCCCGAAAAATCTTGCTATTTCCCCATGTAAGTTGGGTTATTTATTGATTTTTAATGGGGCGCTCGTGGTTTTTTTTTTATTACACATCAGCGGTTTCAACCGCGAGCGTATTCATTCCCAGAATGCAAAACTTTAACTCTCGCTTCACGGATAACAGTGACAGGAGAAAAATGACGTTTTGATATTATTCCGAAGCTTAATCCGTAAGGATTTTTTATTGTAGTTATCAGCCACTTCTGATATCGCGAAGAGTTGCTCTTCTAATGCGTTATTGTTAAGAGCTGGGTGTATGAGTTAGTATAGTTTGCGGTAGAGTAATGGATGAACGTTATGATTAACAAGAGGTTGATAAAGGGAAGATATTTTGGTCATTTTTCATATTTTTATTGCCATCTTATGACTAGTCACAGAGTACTGGGTGGAAAACCAGAGAATGTCTTTGTGAGATTGTAAATAGCTTTAACTTGTGACTAATAGAAGTTGAGACGTGCTCTGACCTGTACGATTCTTCCCTGCTGAACTTGCATTCACTCGCCAAATGTGAACTGTCTGCATGGTATACTTAGGTGTCCTTTATTGTCATGCTATTTTTAAGCGCATACTTTGCAACTAGTCGTTCTTATAACTGAAGGATTATGCGTTATAATTATGAGGGGTTCAAATGTTATCGGTATAGCTCTGATAATGGTTGATAAATATTTCATAGATATTCGTGGTTCATTTAAGTATTTAAAGTATGTCTGCAGTCTCATTTAGTAGTAAATAATTGAGGTAATTTTTTTCAGGAACTGCAAGGTGTATCAATATTTATATAACATGACGGAATGGTCAATTAATTCCATGAGCGCAGTCTCTATTTTCATACAATTATGTAGTTGAACCAGTGGCGACGATAATTTTTTGAGAAACAAAGGGTGGGAAGAAATCGCGATTATTGTCAAGTATTTGGTTGTGGTTTGTGAATCTTTTTTAAATCCAGCATTGAAGCAAGCGAATACAACTGAGAAAAATTAAAAACGGCGAAGAAGGGTCGGTTTACCGCAGTGGTGATGCGGGGATGTGGATCGGCATCGACTTAATAGGAGGCCGAGACGGCTGGGGTTGGGGTATTTCCCTTTCGTTCCTGGTCCTTCTTTGCTGGTGTCACATCAACGCTGACGGAAACCTTACTGTTGCTATAGCATCAAATGCTTCCCAAAATGCAGTCACGTCAGACATTGCGACGATGCCACCGACAAATCAAGAACATGATCAGTGTAGAAACGTGACCACCGGCAATGGATTAGGTAAATATCAGTCATGTTCTGCTTTTTAATTTGTCTAAACGTAAATCATATGCAAGATAACAGAAAAATGTCATTTTGCTGAGTTGAGTAATGGGTTGATTATAGGTGCCGGACTGTCGGTGGTCAATCACGGGTCCGTCTATCCTCATCCGCCGATAGTGCCTGAGACGTTTTTGAATGGAGCTCTGACCTGCCAACCCTATCATGGGTTCTATGTGAACCACATCTACTTCCAGCTGGCAAATGCCTTCTTCCTTCTATCTCACCTCGCCCCAAGTGGCATCCATGGTGTACTCTATTTGCGATGCACTCTTCTTGTTGGCTGTGCCTTCCTCACCCTGTGGGGCTGGGCAATAGCCTGCTGGCTCGATGCTGTATTATGGAACGCCCTCTTTGTCGCAATTAATTTCATTCATGTCTGCACGCTTCTTTACAAGCTCAGACCTGTTAGGTTCACGCACGAGGTAGAAGATGTAAGTACAGCCGAAAAAAAAGTTGTAAACTATTGATCTGATAATCATATTTGTTTATTCACCTGAAATTTGTCTATAGGTCTATGCAGCTGTGTTCCAGCCACTAAAAGTTTCACGGCATCAATTTAAGAAAGTGTTAAACTGTATGAAGGTTATTCGTCAGCTCAAATATCAAGAAGTCTATGCACAGGAAAAAGTTACTAAGGTCGATTCGCTGTCCTTAGTCCTTTCTGGAAAGTAAGTCTTGTCGAATATTTAAAATAAATGATTTCATTTATATTGAAAATAATGCAATTGATTTTATTGAAACAATTATAATTATATTACCGTAGGTTGGTAGTCTCGCAAAATGGTAGAGCATTGCACATTGTCTTTTCACATCAGTTCCTGGACTCGCCAGAATGGTTTGGAGTATCAACCGACGAGTATTTTCAGGTACTGGAAGCTAGTTTAAGTTTCAAGATGTACTCATTTCGTGTTACCAATTGCCGTGATTGGATGTTCATTAAATATCTCATTTTAGGTGTCGATAACGGCAATGGAGGAGTCGAGAATATTACTCTGGCATCGGGACAAATTGAAACTAAGCATAATCACCGATCAATTTCTTCAGACCGTTTTCGATCATATTTTGGGCCGAGATGTAGTTAAGAAATTAATGCAGGTACTTGGATATATTGCAATAAATGTTCACATTCTATTATAATATATTTCCGAAAAATAATTTCTCACTGCAACGTATTTCTTTTGTAGGTGAGCGAAACGACAGCAGCTAGCACGCATCAGCAACAAAATGGTCAAGTGGTCAGCTTGACCGGGATGAGCGGTATAGAAAGCGATCCCGACAGCAAACTTTTCGTCGTGAAAAAGGCTGGTGATAGCCAGGGAATCACGGCTCTAATTAATCGCCAACTCCAAGGTAATACCTCATTACCTTCTTTTCTTCTTCCGCCGAATTCAGATTTTGTTTAATCTCCTTTCGATCCCGCACTCGCTAACGATTCTCGGTTGAACTATAATTACGTTGGGCAAGGACACAAAACCCAATGCGATAATAAAATGTCCTAATGCCCGGAAGTGCGTATTAGTCGATCTAGAAAGAGAGATAAATCTATTTGAAAGTCTCCCTCGGTGACTTGCTAGTCTTAGCGAATGGTATTGACGAATCTCAATATCATTAGCATCGCGATACCGCATTATCAATACTATTAGCTCCAGGTTATTAGTATCAATACTACACGACCTGTATCGTACCGCGATATTTCAAATGTCGCCGTGTCGCATAATCTAAATCCGTAATCCGTATCTCGTAATCTAGGTAAATTAATTTCCTCATTTATTTTAACTGGTATCCCCCCCCCCCCCTATCTCCTAGGATATTTTAGAAGCCTTGACATTAGCGCATTACTTATGATTTCCTTATAATTTCGCACCTATTTTGGTTTGATTTGGGTAGAGGAAAGAGTGCCGCTGCTGTACACCAACCCGAACGTGCTGAACAGCGCCCTCTATCGCCTGAACCACCTACACGCTCCTTACATATTGCCGTTGTATCCTGCACGCAACAACGTCCCGCCGTCCCACGTGACGTCTTCCTCGACCAATCCCGTGACCCCTTAAACTAGAAACAACCCTTCTTGGGCCATTCTGGCACCCCCGGATTATTGTTTCTTGTTTTGTATCGGTCACCTTGCATCCAGGTGAGTTGTCTCATTTTATTTTGCATTCTTTACTAATCGGTACTCGTAGTTGGGCTTAAGAGGGAATACGGTTAACGGAAATTAAGGATTAACGGGATGGAAAAGCTGTCTTCATCGAGAGACAAGTGCTCCTCTCATTTTTAGTGTTTGTGTAACATCAAAACAGTACGTTGCAAAGTTTGTCTACGAAATGGCCCGGATCACTGTGACAGTCTTTTTCTTTTCTTTTTTGTTTTTCCCTCGTGAATTTAGATATGATACAGAGTTTGTAGAGTAAAAAATAGCAGAAAATTTCTACTTTTCTGCTGTTCTTTCTTCCCAGCTCTAGAGAGACCAAAGAAATATGTGTGTGTATATATATATATATACACACACTTAACTCCAACAAATTAAAATATTAATATTTTATCTTTGCAATTTATTTTGTTTCTTTTTTTGTTTTCTCCATTCGTGTACTATCGTATTAATGGTACCTGTAAAGATGTGTAGAGTTATGCTGGCGACTCGAAAACATTTTCCAGTAATTGTTATGAGAAAAAAAGGCAACTTTTCCATGCGAACAAATGCACGCACTGTGGAAACCTCAAACATTTCTTTCCGATCTAAAGTAGATTGTCCCCCTTAACCCTCTCGCTGGATTTTTCAAAAAGAGAATTGCAGTTGAAAATTTGGGACGGGCTGGAGGAAGAATATTTCTTTTGCAATTCCTTTCCTTTAGAAAAAAAAAAAAAATGACTATAGTTCTTTTTCGTAGTTTTTTTATCACTCCTATATCTTAAGTCCTGAATGAGACCAGCAACATAAGATTTTTTAGCTGTACCTGTACGTTTCTTTCTCTTATAATTTCTTACTGCTTCTGTTATTACAACTCTCCGTGTATTGCCAACAATTGCAATTAATTGCACAATGCTCCTTGCCAATTATTTAGAGCTGTATATTATACATAAATTGTAAGTAAGTGTTCTGACCGTAAGACGAAATGACCGTTGCAATCGCTTCGTCGTATTCGCGAATTTCCACGGTTCATTTCTCGTATATTTTTTTTTTTCTTTATACGAAGTATATGACATTTTGTCAAAATATGAATATGTACTCGTGTCGGGCTCTATCCATAAGTACTATAATTCGAATGGTCAATTACGATATTTGCGGTTATAATAGAAAAGCGAGAGGGTTAATAAAGTGATCTTCCAATGTACTGCCGTCGAATTTTAATTGTTTCGTCTATTTCATATTCATTATGACTCTTACATTTTGCATCCGGTAACGCGCATTATTATTACAACTATTATTACGTATTTTAAGGACGAGGATGTTAGGATTCTTGTTACGTTTAGCTGGTTCTTCAGTGTATCAGAAACAGGTTTGTTTCTAGCTTTTTACAGTTGTACCCGGGATGTAGGTGTACAATTATCGGCAAAAAGTCATTTACATTCTGTCGTAGATGATTTTTTATTTAGGTACTCGAAGGAAATAAGGATATCTTGACGTAATGGGTAAGAGAGCTAGAAACGTCCCTGAAAATGGATCTAATTGATAGCCCTCGTATTATGTACAGAGTAGTGAGAGATGAATAATGTATTTACCATGTCGGTGAATTGTAAAAGTGAGAACTTAGAAAATAAATGAGAATTATGGAAAACACTTGAGAGTAAAGTCTCGGGGGAGGCGTCGGCTACTTTGTTTCAGTTGGAATTATCTCCGTTAATTTCTCAGCTTTCCTCTGCGTTTTGTTTTTTTTTTGTTGTTGTTTATTTCACACTGGTTTTCGTTATCACTCATAGTGGCTGTGTTTAGATTTTGTTTATCGGGCAGAGATGTTTCTCAAGCAATCTGGTACACCGCGTTAATTGAAATTCTTTACTAACTTATTTACCAGAGAATTGGATCGAGAGTCAAGGCTTCGGAAATTCCGGGATACGCGCTTGAAGTATATTTAACGTAATTCAATAATCCCGGAAAAATAGTCGGGTTTTTCTTAGACCTATAGAAAAGAATAAGATTCCCAACGAAAAGTTAAAAGCGAACGCGAGAAAAGTGTAATGAAAATTTAGGAATATTGATTTCTTAGTATCTCTGGTAGTTACTGACATTGTCTCTTCTTTGCTTAGGTTTGCCTAGGATTAAATACTATTATTGTGGTAAGTTTATAACGAAAATCGGCATTATACTCTTCGTGTTACATCTAGCATGAGTGGGAGCATCTAATAGTGCACAATTAAGGGAAACGTTGGTCGACGACAAATGATATGTGTTAAGAATAAAACCGTCACTTGGTCATTCCTGCACTTGTGAACCATTTATTCTTCACGTCACGCTGTGTTGTTCTCGTACGTTGCTCTTGCTTTAACGGAATATCATGCATTTATGCAAATCGCTAGCATACTACCTTGTCAGGCATTTCTTCTGCGAGTCATCAAGTTCTGGCATACATGTTCATTACGATCATCGAAGCCTCTCTTGCTCGTGCCGACATTCGTTGCACATCTGTGTCGCATTTTCGTAGCTTAAATCCTAAAAAAAAAAGAAAGAAAAATCATCTCTCCGCAAGACCCGCTCCACGACCACGAGGATTTGATTCACCAACGAAAATGGTAATCCTCGAAGTCGTGAATCCGAAACGCGAGAAACGACGTCTAGCTTTCATTTCGGTTGGTTGGATGATTTTCCGTTTATTTATATTCGGGATCTCGGGTCGTGACCTTTTACCTAGGTCAGGCGCAGCGTTCTTCCTGTCCCGGGAAACCGGGAGAGCGGGTCAAGGGTTTATATTGGAATGCTTTCGCAGGTTTCTCATTGCTAGGAAGCGATTTTCAGGTCTAGCGAGGGACGGAAAGATCCGGCGAAAATCAAGACTCGTCCTGAGAGGATGTGGCGAAATAACGTGTCTCGATTTCCAGCGGCAGCAGATCCGAACGCTTGGCGACTTGGAAGGATCGAAGAGACTGATCACGAGACACCGGTCTAAGCGACCCCAAATGCGATCCTTCCGTCATCCTCGAATGTCAATATACAACGCATTTCGCATTGTGTGAACTTCTGCGTCGACTGTGTCAAGCTTTTCGGTAAGTCAACTTCCATTGGCTCGAAACCGGAGCCGAGGCTGCGAGGGTGTATGTACAGAATTTCCTCGACTAGGGAGACATGTGACTTTGTCGAATGACCGGCCTCCAGGATATTTGCAAATGACTGATCATTTCCAGAGACTGATCGCTTTGAGTAAACGGAGAGAGGAGTACTCACCGATTAATTTCATCGGGGCTGTCCTTTAGCCACACGAGTAGCCATTTTGTGTTTGCGTGTTATACGTAGAAGCGCACAACAAATACATTCTTCCTGGTATAGATACGCATTGTGTCAACGAAACGACAATAGACTACCCGAACTTCCCTAAAAAGGCATACGTTAACGTTAACGGCGAGAGGTCTAGTTAATAATTAATACCGAGCTGTAATCAATATTTGATTTAGGACTGTTTAGTTCTGGCCTTGCTCAGCAGTCGTATGCCAATCCACTAGTCAATGAAGTTCCGATGTAGCGATATTTCTTTCTGCAGCGCGGAAGACCATTTGCATATACCTTGTAAAATACCGCTTATTTTGCTTCGCTATGTGAACCCTCTATATCTTGATCAAAGTGTATACATTCTTACCTAGCTGGAGAATCCTACGAGGAAAGTCCGGGTAATCCCCTGGGGTTTCATCTCGCTCGGAATTTTCATGAACGAGGGAAAATCTCGAGGAGATTTTCTGTACTTTTGAGGATTTAGAGGGACCCTAAGTGACTACACTGAGAAAGAAAAAATTCTATATACCAAAGAAATACTTCTTTGGATGGTACCGAAGAGATATTTCGTTAATCCACAGAACAATTATCTGACTAATCAACTGTAATAAATTGTCATCCTTCCGCGGAAACGTTACATCCGATTTATTCGAGTTTATTCGAGTCAAATAATTATTCTTTGGATTAACTAAATATTTCTTTGGCTCAATGGAATTGTTTTTTTTCTCAGTGTACAAATGATTTCCGATTTTAACGGGACGTTTCACTGTTGATAGTAGAAATCACTGATCTGTCGGGTCTATTATTTGTGGAACGACGAACTTTACTGTTTAAGCCATGGTTCATGTCCGAATCAACCCAATAGATGTGGCGATGTTGAATTGTTAGAGATTTTATGGAGAAGGTCGATGATTAAGAGTATATTGAAGTATTATTTACGAGGGCGAATTGTTATGTATGCACTTGTAGTGTAATGATATATGTAGACCGGGCTTCCTTTGATTCGGGATTCAGTGAAGGAATTTCATCAAGGCTTAGATTTAATTCTATCTCTTTACACTTTTTCCCCTGAGCAAAAAATACACTGCAACGAAAAAATATTTTGTTAATTCAGAGGATAATTCTTTGACTCGAATAAACTCAAATAAATTGTCATAATCCCGAAGAAACGTTGCATTCAATTTATTCAAGTTAATTTTAGTTAAAATCATTATTCTTTGAATTAAAAAAATATTTCTTTGATACCATTCGAAGAAATATTTCTTTGGGTTAATGAGCATTTTCTTCTCAGTGTAGAATCCGCTGATATGGTAGAGAATTCCTTTTATTCAACCATGTGCCATTGTTGATAGCAGAGAATTAATTCCAAATATTTCTAAAAACGGCGAACTGAAGCTTTCGGAGAGTAATGTAATTACATAGGTTACTGCAGATATTTTCTAAAAAAAAAAGAAAAAAAGAGGGAGAAAGGACGTATATTGCCAATCCTTATGCTTAAATTGACTTTTCGTTGTTTTATGGTTTATTATGATACATTACACACTGAATATCCCACGGTGAAGTTACTCAGGCTGTACTAAAGTACTGAACCGTACAAAATGGCAGAAAATTCTTATACAGCCACGATGTATAACGTATATTGTAGAGTTATAATGAAATGCGAGGAAATCGAGATCCGATTTATAAAGAAAAATATCGGTTCCGAAATGAACGTCGAGGAAATGGTCATTTGACGTTCTGAGATGTGGTTACAAAATACAGAAATAATATAAGGTCGAATTCCCCATGTTCGTCATGTCGGTACTTAATTGTAACAAGAACCTTACATAATGGTACCTTGTTGTATGCGATATAATAAGTCAACGTTCAAGGATGATCGGAACGTGTCAGGAACGATCTGCGATCATGATGCGAGCTGTAAATACTCGTTATAATTATAAAATGTAAATAATATTATCGAAACAAAAGATTATTATATATCATCGATGACCAATTAGCATGATCACTCTCGAGCGTTTTCACACCAAGGTGATTGGATATCGAATAGCTACGGATTAATTATGTTCAATGCTTTACATATTTTGATGTCTAGACGTTCCGTTGGCAGTCCGTAGTGATTTTTATAAATGTTGAAATGTTGCATGTACCTCAAATTGAACGATGCAAATTTTTCTTATGATTTTTTTATGGCAGTTGTTGAACTTGAGTGGATCCTCCAGAGATTACAAACACATGTGAATGATGTTTTTTTTATTTTATATATATATATATAATGCACTTTGAATAAGATATGTCATAAAATATATTTGCATTAACAAGAGAAAAAAAAATGGTTGATATGATTGGTCTATTATGTTGGTTTGTTTAATTTATAGAAAGTATAGGATTAAAATTAATTTGTAAGTCTAATTGCTACTGTAGCTGTGGTTACGATTAGTAAGTGTGGAAGTATTGTTGTCGATATTTGGATGTTTACATAAACTATTTGAAATCACTCGGAGTCTATGCTAATTGGATTCCAAACAAAGTCCCGTATGCCTTGCAAACATGTATTTTGTTGAAATTAGAGATGAACTTTATGTGATTTGTAATAACTCACGCGTATCTGATGAACTTAACTCTAATTGGAGTCAAGGAAAGTGTATAAATGTATTGTTTAGAGATCATATGTATAATAATATAATTAAAGGAAAATACAAAGCGCATAGGATGTTACTTCATTCTTTCCTGGAAATACACGGAGGACCAAACTTGAGAAACGAATTATTGATATCTTAATTTCCAATGTGCAAGCATTTTTTATTTCCATAAATATGACATCCGAAAGTAATACTTGTAACTATTTATTAGTGAAAATTCAGTCACTTAGGACTGATGAAATGTAAACAGATTTTATATGTATATACTCATGTTCATTCATTTATAATACAAATTAATCAATAACATATATACAGAATGCCCATTCACAGAAACTTATCTACATTTTCTTATTTTTCAATGTAGAGATCTTGTTCATAACAGCAATTGTGTTGATCTTTTTCAATGATTAGCAGATTATTATGGCCATGTAATTTTTTGTCGTTTCTTTGAATCCATCAAAGAGCCTTGAAATGATTTTATTTCACTGTGTTTACGTTTCAAAGCACATTCCTTTTCTGCCTTATAAGCATGGGATAGACAGATCTTCTTTGGTAGAGATTTACTGTCACTGATAGGTGGTTTTAGTCTTTCAACATTATTATTGACTCTTGCTTGTATTACGCCGTTTTGTTCAGGATTACTTTTCGATGGAGAAAATTCTTCTTTCCTATGAATAAGAATGCACATAATTATCATAAGCTATTTCTTAGAATCGTTATGTATATATTATGACACTACTTACTCAGTAAAAACATTTTCTTCATAACATGCGGTGGCAATTCCATTTTTTGAACGTAGGGTAGATAATTTCTTTCCTAAATGTCGAGCTTCGTCAAATTGCCTTTGTGGTAACGGCAAAACGACACGCTTATAAATTTCTACTAGTTCTGGTTTGCTTAAAAGTTGCAGCCTAGGAAGCTCGATGCATCTCTGTATAAAACAAATGAATAAGAAACATCATTACATATAAGAATTAAATAGGCAACTTTTCATACGTTCTTAAAATATTAACAATTGTCTTACATTTTTTAAAAGTTCTCGAAGTGTCTCTTCGGACAAAAGCTCAGGGTGTGTCAGTTGATAAGAGGCCAAATTCATTTTTTCTACTTATAAACATTCAGTATAACAAGTGGCTTCAACTAAATGTCTGTAATCGTATATTAACTATTCATTAGTGCTTTGCTTCTTTATTTGTGTATTTAGCTACCCATGTCAGTGCTTACTTTTAATTTGATCGGTTATCAACAGATAATTCAATATATCACAAGATCTAAAATTTAAAAGTGTATATATGATAACATTAGCTAAAAAGATGACTCATTCTAATTAATCAGGAATGAAACATTTTTGAGATCATGCATTGACGTTCCAATTCATTTTTGTATCAAACAGATATTAATGATTCCCGAATCTATTTCTCAGGTCTTGTTTGAATAACGACCCCTGTGCTTTTGTCATTTGGTAGCAGACCTCAGCAAAATACGACCAAAAACATTCGAGTTTATATCAACTTTGTTTACATGGTTTAAATTCATTATGATTTACAAATACGTGCTACAGGAGCGAACGAATTTCACCAAATCTTCCAATCACTGGACAGCGTGGCTGTCATCCAACCTGTTTTCTATAGAGTATGGACAAGAGTGTGAAGTCGTGGAATGTGACCATTGAAGAAAAGATTTCTCAGAGATGAGTTGGGAGATTGCTCACGGGCAGGATCGCGTGATCGCATCTTGTGCTGCCCTCAGGTTCGTACGATAGCTTTCACCGTTTTTTACCCCCAAGGGCGGCGCAACGAATTTCTGACAGAGATGAGTTGGGAGATTGCTCACGGGCAGGATCGTGCGATCGCATCCTGTGCTGCCCTCTAGTTTCGTACGTTAGCTTTCACCGTTTTTTGCCCCCAAGGGCGGCACAACGAATTTCTGATAGGAGCTCGCGCACTCGCGATGGCGGTACCATCTACCAGTCACCGTTGGCGGCTCACGTACTCATGA